AAATTACTGGGTTGAGGAAAGCTGAGCTATTGGAGATAGTCCATAGGAGAATGAATTGAAGAACCTGGGGGCAGAATTAAAAGGGGAATTAGTCTAGAACAGTGGTGGGATTCAAATTTTTTTACTACCGGTTCTGTGGATGTGGCTTTTGGGCGTGGTGTGGCTTGGTGGGTGTGGCAGGGGAAGGATACTGTAAAATCTCCATTCCCACCCCACTCCTGGGGGAAGGTTACTGGAAAATTCCATTCCATTCCCTCCCCACCCCACTAACCTGCTTTTCAGCTCCGTTCTCCTGTGCAGGGCAACAAAAGAAGACCCAGCCAATCAGCTGGGACTCGGGAGGCAGAGAATGGGGGTGGGGCCAGTCAGAGGTGGGATTTGCCAGTTCTCTGAACTACTCAAAATTTCTGCTACTGGTTCTCCAGAACTGGTCAGAACCTGCTGAATACCACCTCTGGCTTAGAATCATAACATAGCCACAAGTGAACTTAAATCCAACTTCCCCCTGAATTCTCTTGGCCTTTATTTAACTCTAAGCAGTTGCTATTATTTGAGAAGATTCTTGTAAATAGGCTTTGTAGCAATAAATCAGTTTAATTGGACTTTCATGTATGGACCTGACATAGACATCCCAAATTCTTCATTATGTACTTTTAGAAAATGAATTCCTGTATGATTAAAAAAAAGGTACCTATATTCATCTGCTTAATAGCTTCATGCAGAGGAGGTAATTCTTCTGTGAATGGCTGGCTTCCCAGACCTCAGAAAGAATTTGTTTGATTGTTTGTTTATTAAATGATTACTGATGGCTTACAATTAAAAAAAAACATTTTTTAAAAAAATGATTATCTTCAAACTCTGCAATGTTTCACCTATAAATTCCTGCAGACATGAAGATGTTAAATTAAAGTAAAATAAAGAAAATTGGTGAACGTTTTTAAAAATAGATTCAGCTTTACAATTATTTAATGGGTCCCCAGAATTTGTTAGACTAACCTGAAAAGGTAATTCAGGTTGTAGGCTGTGGGAACCCAGCCTTCAAGCTGAACCTACAATTGAAAAAGACTTTTTTGAAATGTGTAGATCACACTCCTAATCCAGGACCACATGGGTGAGGCGCACATTATTTCTCTGGCTGAAATTTCTTTCTGTTGCTTGAGATCACTTTCTACCAGCAGAGGACTCTGCCAGCAGCACAAATAATTTTGCTTTCAGAAAACCAGCAAACTGGATGAAGAGAGATAGAGAGGACAAGCCAAGTTGTATGGTGCTGAATCCCAAGTCAAACAAGGAAGACAATTAAAGAATGCAAAATCCTAAGGAATGTCCAGTGGGAATTAAGCAGCCAAACAGGCAAACCACAACTTTGCTTTTCAGGTTTGTTTCAGTGATATGCTAGATCAGAGATCTCCAAACTTGGCAACTTTAAGACTTGTGGACCTCAACTCCTAGAATTCCTCAACCAGCTGGCTGAGGAATTCTGGAGTTGAAGTCTACAAGACTTAAAGTTGCCAAGTTTGGGGACCTCTGTGCTAGATCCACGTCGCACTAAATGATAAAGATCATTTGCTTGATCAGTTTGATCCAGCAAGGCACCAGGCTGGAAACCAGGACACTAGGAGTTCTAATCCTACTTTAAACAAGAAAATTAGCTGGATGATTTTGGGGGTACTTTCTCTCAGCCTAATTCACTCACAGGATTGTTGTTGTGGGGAAAGTAGGAGAAAGCAACATTGAGTATCTTTGCCATCTTGACATTTATAAAATGACAACGGGGAGATAAAATGAAACAAACAAAATAAAATGGGCGAACCCGCCTATTGTATCTAATTTGTAAATTCTTTGGCTTAAGTGGTGTGTGTGAGTGAAGCTAATTATGGTTTACCCATGGTTAAGCAAACTAAGATTATCCTTCTGCTCTTGGGAAAAAATATAGAAAGAAAACCTTCCAAATATCTTCCCCCTTCCAAATATACAACAGTGACTTTTCTAAGCTCAGGAATATATTTTAAAACACAGGAAACTGACACTCATTGGGTCAGACTCAATTTAGCCATATCTTTCTAAACTACATGTCTCATTGTCCTTCACTATTAACTATGTTGGCTAGAACTGCTGGGAGTTGCAACCAAGACCTGGAAACCAGCTGGTTCTCCATTAAACCAGGTTGGCATTATTGCTACTGACTTTTAGACTTTCAACCATGATTTTTTTTTTTACAGCTTCAATAGCGATATCAGCTATTCAGTTGGCAAAATTAATCTGCGTGCAAGGCAAATGCCCTACTCATGAACTCTGTTGCCTTTAAAAAAAAAATTTCTCTGCAGTTATGATGTGGACGTGGGAAGTCAACAGCATCTTGTTTGGATTCAGAAAGGTTAAGCCAAGATGGCCTTGGTTAAAATTGGATGGGAAGAGTACCACAGAGATTGTAAATATGTCCTGAAAGAGTGGAATGACAAATTGCTTCTAAAACTACATGGATGATGGTTACCAAGAGTCAATCCTAACTGCATGGAGACCTTACCTTATGGTTCAGTCTTGGATGAAAAACCAAAACTTGCAACTCTGACTGTACTTCCAGATATTTTACTTAGCCTGTCGAAGCAGAGATCTACTCAAAAACACGCTCTTCTAAAGGTGGATATCAATCCAATGAAAACAGATATTAAATTACCTACAGGCAAATGCCGAGCTCACAAGTAGATGGAAGATCACTCCTAAGAATAGAGCCAGTCCTACAAAATAGAATAGAATAACCGAGTTGGAAAGCACCTTGGAGGTCTTCTAGTCCAACCCCCTGCTTAAGCAAGAAGCGCTATATACCATTTCAGACAAACGGTTGTCCAATCTCTTCTTAAAAAACGTCCAGTGTTGGAGCTTTCACAACTTCAAGGAAGACAAGGAAGCGAATCTCGTTTGCCACCCCACCCCACACCCGCCTCTAGCACCTTCTCTCTGCTCAGCCCGCCGCCCAGCATCTCTTTCACACGATCTCCCAAGATTTGCGCCGCTTTTCACAAGTGAAGGTGGAGGAAGGGAGCGCCGGGAGCAGCTGTGGAAAACCTCTGCTCTGCTCTCTCCCCCCCTCCCCGACACAGGCGCGCGCACACACACACCCTCCCTACCCTCCCCCTTGCGCTAACTTTCCCGCCCTTTTGCCCCCCACGCTCTTCATCCCTCATGTCTTCGCTGAGAAAACGTGGCCTTCACCGGCCATAGTGGCGTTGAGGATGAGGATAGAAACCCCAAAGCGGCTTTTCTCTTTAGGTGGGGGCTGTCCCCCCCCCCCCCACTTTTACAGATATCAAAAAGAAGCCGCCACTCCTTTGGCTTGCGGTAGATGGCGCAAAAGCTCTTTCCTTGCCCGATCTTAACCCTTTCGGACCACCAGTCGAGCGCGCCTCTTTGCGGTTCCAGCCGGGCATCCCTCTCCTCTCTTCCCCGCTCCCTCCCTCCCTCCCCCCGCCGCGCCTCCGTTGCCCAAAGCCCCTCCCCCCTCCCCCCCCCCCCCCCCCCCCCCCCCCCCCCCGGGTTGGGGTTCCCCCCCCCCCCCCACCCGCAACCTCTTTTCGGGCAACTTGTCAAATTTAAGAGCCACGGTTGGGCTCTCATGTCTAGGAGAGGTGAGGGGGGAAAATGGGTGGGGTAGAGGGGCTCGGAGAGGAAGCCAGAAGAGGCCTTTGATGGGGAGGGGAAACACTCGGGAAGGAAGGGAAGGCGTCTGTATTGCTTTGGGGTGGACGCCAAACTCGACGCCTGTTCGCCCAGCTGGCTAGTTTCCCGCCCCTCTCCAACCCTCTCCCCCCCACCCCAGGTCGCTGGTATTAGCATCAACCTTGACCGCACCACCGTCGTTATCCAGGACACTGCAAGTCCGAGGGCAACACAGGGAGCCATGATTGAGGGGGAAGTGGGGGGGAAGAACAAGGTAGTCACCGGCGCGGGCGCTCTTGGGCCCGGCTGCCCTTCGCGCACGTTTGTGCGCTGAGCGACCGTTCCTGGCTCCAGGGCAGCCGCGTCCTCTCTTCCTTCTTTTATACCGTCCGCCTGCGGGGGCATGGAGCAACGCCTGCTTCGACGGGTTCTCGGTTGTTTCTTGACGAGGGTGCTGAATCCTATCCCGCGGACATCCGATTTGGGGTATTAAGGATTTTTATTTTATTTTATTTTTCCCTACGGGAAGGCTAGCTTTTTTATCCCCCTAACCTTCTCCCCAACCCCCCCGCCCCCCCAATCATAATTATTCCCAATAGAAATCCCCTCCCCCCCAACAGTAACACTAATCACACACACACACACACGCCAAGGTTTCCCAAAGAGTGGCGAAAGAATAAGGAAAGGGGAAGGAAAAGAGGAGAAGCCGCTTTTGCTCAGTAGACCCCCGCAAACGGAGAGAGCGAGAGCGCGCGAAGCTAGTCAATTTCGAAACGCCACTAAGTCAATTTCGTGGCGCTCCGCTCCTGAGATGTGCTTCCCGCAGCTCGTTTCGTGATTCTTTATATATATTTATATATATATAAAGAACCATTCCTCTCGAGAGAACGAAGAAAGCTAGTGGCAAGGCGTTCGGGGCAGCCTCGGTCTGGCTTGGCGGCAGAGTCGGCTTGCTTGAGCCGAGAGCCTCGCTGCCCCCGCCGAAGAGATGGTTGAGTCCTGCTCGTCAAGGTTGCTGTGGTATCCCAGAAACGCCGTTCACTTGGAGCTGTGACCGCGCACCATCAACACATACACACACACACATACACACACCCCACACACACACGCCGCTCCGCGCGAACTCCTCCACTGCGCCTTGGACCGAAGCGAACAAGGAGGAGAGGAGGAGGAGGAGGAAGAAGGCGAAGAAGAAGGGGTGGGTTGGGGGGCAACGGCTAAGGCAGGCAGGCAGGCAGGCAGGCAGGCAAGCCAGCAGTTCCTTCCTATCGGGGGTGGGTGGTGGGGTGGTGACGGCGTAAGGAGAAGCTCGTTCGCTCCGCTCGTTCGCTTCGGAGGAAAAGATGCAAAGGATTTCCTACAACTGCAAAGACACTACCTGGCCAAGGAAAGCCGACGCCGTCGCCGCAGATCTGGGGCAAAGGGGATGTGGGAAATGCGGCCGCCCGGACTTGTGCATCTTGGGCAAAATCATGGGGATTAAAAGTGGATTTACCTTGGGGAACCTCGTCTTTTTCTGGATGCTCTCCTCTGTGAAAGGTAAGGGCGCGGGGCAATGGGATGTGACACCCCCTCCCCTCCCCAAGAAGCCGGAGGAGAGAGAGAGGGGTGGGGAGGAGGAAAAAAAGGGGGGGTTTGCAAGTGAACGCTGGGAGGATGGTGGGGATGGTGGCCGGCGACTCGGGCTTTGCCCGAGGTGTGCGGACGCCGCGTTGTCCTTTCTCAAGGTTTCCCCTCGTTTATTCCGCGAACCTCGTTCATTCCGCGAATCCGGAATCGGATGGCTTTGCCAAATCAGTGGTCACTGGGGAAAGAGGAGTGGAGAGGGAGCGAGGGAGGGAGATGGGATTGAGGTTTCTTTTCTTTTCTTCCCATGAAAGAAAGGGGGAGAGAGGGGGGGGGGCGAGAGGGAATCCAGGCGAGAGGGAATCAACCGCGATAGGAAATGCAATTTGCTTGCCAAGGCTGGCGTTCAATGCAGTGACTGAAAATTGTGCCGAATAAATATTCTTGCAGGACGCTCAACCGGAGACGTGAGTTGGGTCTTGCACGCCACTGAAACGTGTGGACATTCCAACAAAATTAGCGTTGGAGGATTCATTCTCTTCCATTCCTCCCCCTCGCCCCCACAGTCAACCCTGAGGTTGCTATTTAGAAAGTGGGGCTAAAAAGCAAGACAAAACACTGTTTGTCTGTCTGTCTGTCTGTCTGTCTGTCTGTCTGTCTATCTATCTATCTATCTATCTATCTATCTATCTATCTATCTATCT